AACCAGAAAAATAGACAAAAAAAACCAGAAAAATAGACAAAAAAAATACGGTACCCGCTTAAATTCCTAAACCCTAAACCCCTAAACCCTAAACTCTCAAACTCCTTTTATGAGGAGCGGCTGCAGTGCGCATGCCCTCATGCCCGCCTTACTCCTAAACTCCTACATCCCTAAACTTCTAAACCTCTAAACTCTAAGCTCCTAAACCCACCATGGCCCTCCAAAACCTGTGTGTTTGCTGCACTCTGCACGGGGCTCAGGAAAGTGCATGCCCCCTCGCTGCAGCTTTCCTGATGATTCCTTTGATACGTTTCCTGGAGCAAGAACTTGTTATACTAAGGATTCGCCAACTCGTTGTTGAGGGGGGCCGGATGGCCAACAGCGATTATTACATAGCAAACCTATACTTATAGCATAACTTAAGCTCGAAAACCCAAAACCCATTAGCGCATGCCTCACGGTCCTGCGTGCTAAACTGAAAAGCATGCGCAGGCCGGAAAAGGGCACATGACGATCTCCTGGGGCAACTCCTCAGCATGACTGTGCAACTTTTCCCTATTATCAGCCTACATAAGGAAAAACTTTTCCGGTGTAGGGTTTTTTTGGTCACTCACACTCGGACAAGCCTGGCGAGGTCTGCAGCAATACTGGTCCAACGACTCATTAACCCCTACGCTGCCGATTCACCGAGTGGGTACCACTGCCAGGGCAGGCTAGAAAGAAAACAACAACAAATTCACAACGAGTAGGGCTTCGGGCTCATATTCTGTGAGTACTATAAGGACCACTTCCAGCCTGTATCCCTAAACCGCCAGTCCCTAAACCCACGACAAAGGAAACTAGGATCCTAGGCTTCTGGAATCTGCTCTCCAGCACCAGTTGAACCGTTGAGCGGCTTGACACGCCTATTTTGGAAAGAGTGTGCACACCTCTAGGCGCACAAATATATGAATATATATATATATATATATGCACACCTAAACATGATCTAAATTGTTGTCTGTATGTATGTATGTATGTATGTATGTATGTATGTATGTAAGCATTTATGCATGCATGCATGTATGCATGTATGTATGTCTGAATATGCAAATACACATATGTATACGTATGCATGTGCTTGTGTTGTGTGCATGTTTACGTACTTATGCACATGCACATAACTGGAGATATGTGCGTAGACCGCTACGCATGTATGTGCGTCTGTGCATTTGTGGTGGTGGTCATTGTTGGGGTTTTGTACTCGCGCACACGACTGTCAACTGGAACCTGTAGAAGTTAGGCTCGGGGCTTCGGGCATTGGGGATAGAGTTGCGGGCCCTCGGCTTAAAGCAATGAGCCCAAAAACTCTAGAGACAATTTAGCCTTGAAAGATTATAAACCCCAAGCTGTGCAACATCTCTACAGGCTGTCGATAAAACGCCACCCTAACCCTAGCCCTAAACCCTTAAACCCTTAAACCCTTAAACCCCTAAACCCTAAACCCCACCCCAACCCAAGCCCGACCCTAAAACCCTTCACCCCAGAGCTGCTCCGCCAAGATGCCGCCAATGTAGCCTTAACGAGGCCTTCGGGATCGTTCTCGTACCTGTCGGGTCTACTATTAGCGTTAAAAACCTTGGTGTTTTCGAGCTTAGAACTCTAGGATTTACTGTAGCGGTCAGGACGTCTTAGGGTTCAGAGTTGGGTTTAGGATATTGACGGATTTGGGGACATCTGGCTTTCGAGTGCTAGGAAAAGCAAGCCCGGTGGCATACCTCACAACGAAAGCCTGAAGTTCCGAGGCTGCTTTGGAAAAGGTAAACGAAGGGGTGTATCGTCGACGGCTTGAAGGTATGCGTCAGGGTTTAGGGCCTAGGGGTGCTCTACACAAGAACAGACTCCAGAGCATCCAGCGAAGTAATTGTCAGACATACACAACATGTTTAATTTCTGCCTAAGTAATTAGTTCGTGCTGCTCTGTGTAGTCTTCGTGTCCTGAACCGAAGACAGGGGGATCTCTTATCGTGAAGACCGAGACGATACCGAATTCCGAAAAGCTTGCCTCCTCGATGATTTCCAAGATCCTACGGCTCGGAGGGTCTAGGGATGATGAAGGTTTTAGGGTCTTGAGATTCGGGGTCACAGGAGGTTTCCACATGTTCGTGGGAATCCTGCCAATGTGAATCCCAACTAAACCGCGACAGCATCTGAAAAACCCAGTTTCCAATACCCCTCATCTACGGGAGTATCCTAGAACTACCATCGGGGCCATTGGCAAGAAACTCCTCACGACGGGATCCGGACACTAACAAGGGCCGTCATATTAGAACAGGGTTTTGGAGTATATCCTGGTATACTGACACTAAGGACAGCCGAGGACTAGTATTAGTCATTCTTCCAAATTATTACCCTAAACCCTACAAACCCTAAACCCCAAACCCTAGAGGAAGTCACTCGGTTCCCGTCACTCTCTTTTCAACCCACGCGAAGTAGATCCGATCCAGCCGTTGAAGTTGCCCTGCAAACTTCACTAAGGATCTGTCAGCGTAGTTTCGCAACCTTGGGGTCGCGCAGGCAAGTTGTCAGAAAATCTTGGATGTCAGGCTGGCCCTCAACCCACGCCAGACATGAAACCCTAAACTTTAATCCGAACCCTAAGCCCCAAACCCCAAACCTGCATGCCGAATATAACCTCATCGAACTGCGGAGTTTGGTTTTGTGGAGTATCAGATGTGGTGCTGCGTTGCGGTCGTCGGAATTTCAGATTCAACCCGGGGCTTCGAGTCCAGGGCTAATCTAGGGGCCTTGAAAATCAGAATAGGGTTTGGGTTTACTATACTTTATACTATATTTATAAAAAGGACCCCC